TCACAGCAGCCATACAGAGTGACAGAAAGACCCTAGCAGGAGCAGGACTTAGTCCCAGGTAGTCAGCTCAGCTTCCCCCTCCCCTTAGACAGGTGGGCAGGGGGAAAGCTATGAGTAGCAGTTGCTTGCTGTCTGAGCTCTACCTTGTCAGTCTGAGGAAATTAGTCTGCCTTCTGTAGAAGACGAAAAGCATCAAGTATTTTTTAATACTTAATGTTGCCAGTGAAGACGTGCCCCTAGAGTCCTGCCCCTCTAGTCTATTCTAGTATTTTTATCATGCCCAGTACTGTGGTATCTGAGCATTGTTAGCCAAATGGGCTCGTTTCCCCCTGGAGCTGCCCAATTACCCCAAGGAGGCACGGAAGTCTAGAAGACGGTTCTAAGTTTTTATTGACCAGTCAGCTGAGTGGGATCTCTCCTTGGCTCATGCCAGTAAGAGAGAGCCCCTTACAAAGGCAGAGCGAACCTTTTTATACCTAGCAACAAACAACTTAACATGCATACCTTATACGTGTATGCGGAAGGAACATTTCAAAAGGCCTTGTATGCAGATTGAGAGAGGCAAGGGAATGGATACATAACAGGATGCGGTTTAACATTTGCTTGAACTTATCACCTCTTTCCACAGCACCCCCCTCCGCCCCCCCGCACTCCACTCTGAGGCATATGTTAGCAGTGCCTATTTGTCTCACCTAGGCTGGTGGTTTGGCCGCCTTGTGTTATCACATAATCTTGCTACACAGAAGGCTGCAGCGAGGGTTTGCAGAAGCAGCCGTTGCTCCTAATGTAACAGCTGAGATAATAGGCAAATAGTTGGCCTTTGCTCTAACAGCATCTATGTGGAAATCTAAGCGTGGTATCCAAATATCAATAAATACTATGGGGGAAGGGGGAGGGAGAGGGAACCACCTTTTTTTTTTTTTTTGCATTGTCTTTCCCCAGGTGACTTTGGGAAAATAACAAGGTAGCAGACATCTGAGCACATTTGTAGATTCCCCCAGGTGACCTCACCGTTTCCTGGGAGAACAGATCTCTATAGGAACCAAAACACAATCAATGCTACTCAACTGCATCTTCGCCCTGAATGCTGCAGTTCCTTTCAGGCTGTTCCTGGCATTAACTCAGCAACGGGAAGTTTTCAAATATATGGATATATTTTTGGAAACCACAGTAAAGGGGGATTTCAGGCATGCATAATTTAATTACCTCTGCCTATAATGCTCCTTGGATCAAACAATATAAATGGAGCAATAAAATTCATGTATATGAGATGAGAGCATCCTGGCTAGAGTTTTCTGATCATGTGATTGGATAGCCCTAAAACAATACCTCCATTAAACAGCATGTGGTATATTAAAGGGAAATACACACTGTACATTATTTTTTGCTGTATTTGCAGAATTTTTCTAGCAACAGGTGAGTTCACAGGCTGGCCAGCAGCATGAAAATAATTTAACCCAAATATACAGCCATTCTCTTCTGTGCTAGATCAAGCACTAAAGAGTTCTGCAGAAATTTCCCTATAGAGACAGACTCACAGAGGTATACTTGAGATATAGCAAAACTGAACTTTGTTTTCTACCACATCTTTCAAAGAAACAGTAGCTGAAAGCGCTGTAAATTGTTAAATAATATGAGCTTGGAGAAGTTGGGGGGGGTTGTTTGAAGGCCAGAAGAGGGGGTTCAGGAAAGATTTATTTCAGGAGAGGATCCCCATCGAGTATGAGTTGTAGCTGTTTGATGATACCCCATATGGGTTCCAGTGTAGAGTGGTAGGTGACATCTAGGGGCATGTGGTTGGAGGGGGTTTCCAAGCCTCAGCCTAGGACACACCAATGCCAAGCAACATAAGACCCTGCCAAAACAACAGGTGCGAAGCCTGCAGATTTATCTCCAATGATCAGCACCCCCAACAACACACCTTTCAAGACCTCTGGGTCCTATACATGCCTATCACAACATGTGGTATTCCTCAGCCAGTGCACTAAATGCCCCAATAACAGCTATGTGGGTGAAACCAGACAATGACTCTTGAATGAGCTCACACAGGAAACTGATAAAAGACAAAAATACCCTATCACCTGTGGGTGAACACTTTTCACAAAGCGATCCCTCTGTATCTGACCTAAGTCCTCCTCCTCAAAGGAAACCTGCACAACACTTTCAAAGGACAAGTGTGGGAGATTAAATTCATAACTTTGCTAGACACTAGAAATCATGGACTGAATAGACACACTAGATTTATGGCTTATTACAACAAACCATAACCCACTAACAACCCCCTCCCCCAGCTGCTTTTCCCTCCCTCTTTCCCCCTTATGAGTGGAGAGGTGTTAACAGGCCACTTGGCCTTGAATGGTCTCTTGATATATGTGTTAATAATTTAGGCTAAACAATCTGTTCCACCTTGTATTTAGCTGTGACACTCTGCGCAGGGGCCGGGGCTCCAGGAATATTCAGGGCCGGGAATGTTTAGAGCCGGGTCTCTCCCCCAGCCCTGTCTGTTACGCTCCAGGAGCGTCCCCCACCTGCCGCCCTCCCGGAGTGTCGCTGCCTGATTGAAAGCGGGTGGCTGCGCTGCTCTCCCTCACCTGCGCTGCCAGCTGCTGCTGCCTAAGGCGAGGCGACAGCACAAGACCAGCGTGGGCGGCAGACTGAGGAAGTTGCTGCCCCTGCGGCAGGGAGGAGGTGCACACATGATTGGCAGCCCTTCCCTCCCCTGGCCACCACTGGAAGGCAATAGTCAGGGGATTTCCAGTCGGGAGACAGCTGGACCTCACTCGCCTGAGCAGCTGCTGGGGCTTTGGTGAGTGTCTGACCCCGTGATCCGCCCGCCACCGCTCCTGCCCCACGCTGGGCAAGGGGCAGCCCTATCCCCCACCCCCAGTGAGGCTATGGTGAGGGGTAGCAGCAGGGGAGGAGGGCCCCCCCCCCTGCACCCACCACAGGGGAGGCAAGGGGGCTTCCTGGACCTGAGAGGGGCCCTAGGCGCACATGCAGTGACAGTGGTGCCGGGTGAGCGTGCTGCGGGGGGGGAGAGAGGGGTCCCTCCCCTGGAGCTTGCTACTGCCAGTGGGGGGAGGGCTGGGGGGAGTCGTCCTCTCTGGCCTCAGCTGGGGGCAGCCTGCCGGCACACAACTCTTCAGCCCCTCCCCACCCCAGAGCCCGTGCCCCCAGCCAGAGCCCTCACCCCCTGCCCACCAGCCCTGAGCCCCCTCCTGCACCCCAGCCCAGACCCCACACCCAAACTCCCTCCTGAACCCCACACCCTGCCCCAGGCCAGACCCTGCCCCCCAACCCCCTCCCAGAGCCCATTCCCTGCACCCCAACTTCCTGCCCCAGCCAAGACCTCAACCCCCTCCCACACCACAACCCCCTGCCCCAACCAGGAACCTGCATCCTGCACCCAAATGCCCTCCCAGAGCCTGACCCCTCCCCCCACCGCACCCAAACTTCCTCCCAGACCCTGGGAGTGGGAGGCCACGACTTGGACCCATTCTGGGCACCACCACAAATTATACAAACCTGCCGCCTCTGACTCTGCGCACATTTCCCAGACCTGAAGAAGAGTGCTGTGTAAATTCTAAGGCAGTGGTTTTCAAACTTTTTCTGGTGACCCAGTTGAAGAAAATTGTTGATGCCCATGACCCAGCGGAGCTGGGGATGAGGGGTTTGGGGTGTGAGAGGGGCTCAGAGCTGGGGCAGAGGTTTGGGGTGTGGGGTTGAGGGCTGCGGGGTGGGGCTGAGAATGAGGGGTTCAGGATGTGGGAGGGGACTCTGGACAGGGGCAGGGAGTTGGGGTGTGGGAGGGGGTCAGGACTCTGGGCTGGGGGTGCAGGCTCAGGGGTGGGGCCAGGGATGAGGGGTTGGGGTGCAGGAAGGGGCTCTGGGTTTGTGGGGGGCTCAGGGCTGGGGCAGAAGGTTGGAGTGCGGGCTTACCTCCAGCGGCTCGGGTCAGTGATGGAGCCAGGGTGCAGAGGCAGGCTTCTCGCCTATCCTGGCACCGTGGACCGCGCTGCGCCCCGGAAGCTGCCAGGCCCTATCCTGCCTTAGCCAGGCAGCATCCCCAACAGGACTTTTAAGGGCCCCGTCGGTGGTGCTGACCAGAGCCGCCGTGACCCAGTCCCTTCCATTCCGTGACCCAGTTCTGGGTCGCGACCCATCGTTTGAAAACCACTGCTTTAAGGCCTTGTCTACACTACACTCACTCTCCCCCCCAACACATACGTTGCTTCTCTCTCTCCCATACACTCCCACAACACCCCCCCCCCCGCAGCAGTTTAATTACAACTGTACGTCGGCATAACTTACATCAATAAAATGCTGTAGTGTAAGACAAGGCCTAACTCTTGTCTCTCTCGCCAACTGAAGTTGGTCCAATAAAGATTTTACCTCACCCACACAGTCTCTCTAATATCCTCGGACCGACACAGCTACAACAACACTGCATAAATCAAGACAGACATTTATTCTGGAGAATACAGTGGTATCACGGTGCATGACAGAAGAGGGGACTGGACTCGATGACCTCTCGAGGTCCCTTCCAGTCCTAGAATCTATGAATCTATGAATCTATGAAAGAGCAATGGGGTTATGTCATAAAGGATCAGGTGGAGGAAGGAGCCAGGGAATGATCAGTGTACATGAAATCCTGTCCAGAGTAGGAAAAGGGCAAGTAGGGGGTAATCTGACTGGATTACCAGCCAGAACAGGGAATTGCAGCTGTCTCCAACAGTGAAGGGGTTAACATTTCATCAGTCCTACTGCAATGTTAATGGACCATAGCAGAAATCCGCCAGTCTGGCTGCAACAGGAGCTCAGTCCTTGGCTTTGTTGACATTTGTCCTAGTTATTTTTCCTCTCATTCTTTCACACCTCTTCTTTCCCTCTCGTTTTTGGTGTCTCTCTCTCTCTCTCTGTTGTTTATGTGGTCACATGTTTGGTTTTAGGTGCCTTGTTTAATCCCACCCTCCTGGCCTGAGAGAGAGGAGGAGGGGACCTGCAGGCGAGAAGAGAGCAACAAGATAACATGGATAGCAGAGCAAGAAGCATGGAGGGTGGAATATTGTGCTGCTAGGGAGCATTGAAAAGGAAAGGGGTGACACCCAGGATTTACATAAAGCCAGCGGCTCAGGTTTTCAGGATTACTAGCTCTTTCCTTCTCTACATGCTGGGCAAGAATCCAGATGGGAAAACGGGTAATTCCTTCTTCCTGTAATTTCCAGCCCAGCTTCTGTGCTGTTTTTCCGTTATGGCTTTTGCTGCTATGGTGAGTTTGATTTTTGTTATTTTTATACTGGGGTGCCAGGAGGCTTAATGATCTCAAAAGGACCATTGATTTCTCAGGTGAAAGGCACTATCTAGTCCGAAAACATTATATTTTGCTCCTGCCAACTGTACAGTTCCTGTGGGGGAGACATTAGCAGAGGGTTGGGCGGGGGAGGGAGGGGGAGGCAGAAACTTAATGGTTGCAAAGAGCTGTTTTCCTTGAATTAAGATCTATACTTTTTGCGGATACAGACTAACACGGCTGCTACTCTGAAACCTGATCTATAGAGGGACTGTCCTTCTGGGAATGAACTGCAGTGCGTTCTGATCGCTGGGGCAGGGGAAGAGGAGCGGTGGAAGCCCCTGCAGGGACAAGATGGATGTTTTTTGGAGTAGCAGCCGTGTTAGTCTGTATCCGCAAAAAGAACAGGAGTACTTGTGGCACCTTAGAGACTAACAAATTTATTAGAGCATAAGCTTTCGTGGGCTACAACCCTGTGCTTGCTAGAAGGTTGGTGGCCAGGAGTGGTGTAAAGCAGGGGAAATGGATAGTGGTCAGGGCATGGAAGAACAAGCCTTCTGGAGGAAAATTTAATGAAGATCTAATGTAAGGAAGCAAGTGACAGCTTCCCAAAATGATTCCTTAAGTCAGTCTGAGTGAACAGAGCCCGAATTTCCTGCAAGGAGCTTTCTGCCTGTTGACAGCTAAATAACATCTGTGGCTCCTGGCTCAGTTGCCTTGGGAGAGAAGGGGAAGGGGTGAGGGCGAGAATCAGCTCAGCTGACACTCCCTCCTCTTTGACCATCATCACCAAGGTAACTGCCATTAATCCCAAGCGATCAGTGCTTGAGGGTCACATCCTGCTACCTGGCAACTCTCCAGAAGGAGAAGGAAGCACTGGGAAAAACAAGGGCTGAAATATGAGATGTTTAAAAATTGTTGCATAGGAAGTCTGCAGCCACAATGATTGTATGGTACAACATTGTGTATATTCTTAATAACTCTGTGTGTGTGTGTGGGTGGGGGGCGGGTGAAGTATTTGTAACCGGAACTACTGGTGATGGCTCTCTCTAAAGTTGCTGGGAAGATGGCGTCATGCACAACTTCTGAACTGCCATAAATGCACAGTGGTTCAACACCTCAGCTAGCATTTGCTGGGAGGACAGGGGAACAAGCTGGTCCCCTTTACCATTAGTCAAAGCCTGCTGCTTTGTTGCCTCTCAAATGAGGTGTGTGTAAAATATGTGTGCGCACACGACATATTTTCCAGCTGCTCTATTTTTCCCATTCACCCGCCCTTACCAGCTGTAGGGATGGGCCTAAATCGATCAGCGCTCTGTCCTAGAGCCAGTAGCATCACATTTGCAGTCACTTCTTGCAGGGGGTGGTGGTGGTGGTACAGAGCTTGTTTCATGCTCAGGGAAAGGCTGCCCACAGAGCTCTGAATCCTTCTGAGTTGAGTACAAAGAAAATGAGTTAATGCTGCTTAAGATCTTCAACTGTCTCGTTCAAAATAAGTGACTAATGTTTGCCTCTGAACACTGGCTGGAATCTGGATCCTCTGGTTCACACCTGCTACATTTTTATTGTGCTGCTGATCTGTCCTGGCTGGAAACTTTCAGACTTATCAGCAACGGCCTTTGATCACAAGGAAGTGTGTGCCTGAGGCTGTTTTTAGATAACTGAGAGGCAATAAAGGTGCAGCCAGAGGTGAAAGTAAGCTGGTAAGCTTCCCCAGGCTGGCGATTTAAAGGGCCCAGGGCTCTCCGCAGTGGCCAGAGCCCCTGACCCTTTAAATCACCGCTGGAGCCCTGCTGCTGCTACCCCGTGGCTCCGGCAGCGGGGCTTGGGCGGCGATTTAAAGGGCCCGGGGCTCCCCGCTGCTGTAGCGGCAGCCAGAGCCCTGGGCCCTTTAAATTGCTCCTGGGCTCCCAGCAGCCTCTGCAGCTGGTAGCTCTGGGGGTGATTTAAAGGCCCCAGGGCTCCTAGCCAGAGTCCTGGGGCCTTTAAATCTTGATTTAAAGGCTCCGCCTCTTCCGGAGGAGGCCACGCCCCTGCTGAGGACTCCGGCGTACCAGTAAGTCCCTTATCTTACTTTCACCCCTGGGTGCAGCGTTTCCTGAGCGGTGCAGTGATGACGCCATTCTACTGTTTTGCCCCCCAGCCCAACCACTCAAGGCAAGGGAATGGGGAGCTGTACTGCCATGCATGTGGCTAATGCAGAGGTTTTGCTAGTAATGAGTGTTAAATGCCCGGGGTGCAGGGTGGTAGGAACAGCTCCTCACCCTGTGTGATCCTGGACAAGTCATTTCCCCTCTACACCCTTCTGATTCCCCTCCTACCTTTTGTCTGTTGGGTTTTGTCTATTTAGGCAGCAAGCTCTTCAGGGCAGGGCTTGTCTCTTCCTATATTTATGTACAGTGCCTAGTACAAGGGGGCTCCAATCTCAGTCGGGGCCTCTAGTTGCTACATCATACAAATGACGATGATAACACCAGGGAGAGGAAGTCACCTGTAGGTCTGAAATTCCTGTAGTGCAGAGCAAATGATACGAGGGCCTCCATATGTGATTTGAGAATAAAATTTGCATCTGTATTTATATTAAAAGAGAGATGAGCCCAAATCAACCCCCATGTTCCAGGCTTGGGGAAGTTCCCAGCCTATCTCTAATGAAAAGTCCTTGTAGATATGTCCTGAATAAAAAAGAATACACTACAAAATTAAGTCGACTTAAGGTAGGTCGACCTACAGCCACCGCAGTAATTGAATCTGCTCTTCGTGTCCACACTGTGCTCCTTCTGTTGGCAGGATGCATCCTCACCAGGTGCATTTACTCTGACTGAAGTGGGGCATTATGGGGCATTGAGAGCTGGAGCCCCACCCCTCCGGGACGGAGAGTCAGAACCCCACTGCCTCCAATGTGCTAATCAGCAGAGCTAAGCCAGCATGGAGGAGCTTTTTGGCCAAGAGGAAAGCAGATTAACTTTACCCCTGAAGCAAAGGCGGTAACAGGGAAGGAATTATAACGGAGTCATAATTCGGTGGTTGGTCTGCTCCGGGGATGGCATAGTTTCTTCAGGGCAAATTGTAAGGGTAACCTCTGGCTACCATACCCATTTACTCTCACTTATTTAACAGCTTGACTCTGGTTTCACCTTCCTTTTTCGGTACTCTCTTTCAGTAAGCCTGTTCAAACAGAGGTAAACAACGTTTAATTCTTCTCCGTCAATCTTCATGCACTTGTCTAGGCTAAGAAACAAACCAGCTTGGACAAAGCATGGCTCTTTCTGACTGGTGTGGGAAATGACTGTCCCACTGTTGCAGACTAAGCCAAACAAGTTCAACACCTGCCATAAGCCAGCCTGGCTAATCGCTAACTCTAGCAGGGGTCAGTCATGCTTTAGGTTTGTCTACATCAGCATGACAACCATTTTCAAGACTGGTTGAAGTGGATGATGAGGGCCAGAGAGCAGTGTGACAGCGGATAGCAGTCATTCACAGGCTACATTTAACTGACCAGTCTCTAGCTAAGATAGAGTGCTGCTGCCTCAGAGATATTTTAGTTCTTGTATTTGTAAATAGAGTTTTGCAGTGAAGGCCTAATTTGTTATAACAGCTCAGTCGTCACTAAATTAAATGGCCAGATTTTTCACGAGTGCTCAGCACCCAACAGATCCCATTACTCTCAGTGGGAGCAATTGGGTGCTGAGCTCTTCAGAAAATCTGGCCCGAAAATGATCTCTCCCGACTAATCTCCAGCCTATCGGAATTTAGGGTGGGAGTTTCTATACTAGGTCAGACCAGTAGTCCTCGTAGTCCAGTATCTTGTCTCTAGCAATGCTTGAGACCCGAGGCTCCAGCAGAACTTGAAACCCCTGTAATATACCTAGCTCAGGGGCGGGCAAACTTTTTGGCCTAGGGCTGCATCCGATTTCCAAAATTATATGGAGGGCCAGTTAGGGGAGGCTGGGCCTCCCCAAACAGCCAGGCATGACCTGGTCCCGCCCCCTATCTGACCCCCTCCTGCTTCTTGCCCCCTGACAGCCCCCCCAGGACTCTTGCCCCATCCATCCCCCCTGTCCCCTGATGGGGGGCCCCCCCAGGACTCCTGCCCCATCCAACCCCCCGTTCCCTGTCCCCTGACAGCCCCCAGACCTCCCACCACCCCATCCAACCCCCCCTCTTTCCTGACTGACCCCCCACCCCTGCCCCCGTTCCCTGCCCTCTGACCGCCCCCAACCCCTATCCACCCCCTTCCCCTGACCACCACCACCCTGAACTCCCCTGCCCTCTATCCAACCCCCCCCCGCTCCCTGCCCCCTTACTGCCCTGCCTGGAGCACCAGGACAGGCAGCCGCGCTGCCCGGCTGGACCCAGCCACACCACCACGCAGCACAGAGCACCGAGTCAGGCCGTGGCTCTGCAGCTGTGCTGTCTGGCAAAAGCTCGCAGCCCACAGCTCAGAGCATTGCGCTGGCGGCGGGGCGAGCTGAGGCTGTGGGGGAGGGGGAACATCAGGGGAGGGGCCGGGGGCTAGCCTCCTGGACCAGGAGCTCAGGGGCCGGGCAGGAGGGTCCCGCGGGCTGGATGTGGCCTGCGGGCCGTAGTTTGCTCACCTCTGACCTCGCTGATGGTGTAAAGTGGTACATGAAGTGGGAGAGAGAACAAAGGGAACTCTCTATTTTTCTTATGGGTTTAAGCTGGTCTGCCAGCAGGGTCTTTGCAGGTGTAGCCGCAACTGTTTACCTCTAAAAGTTCTTTATATTTCAATGGGTTTTAACCACCTGACTTCTGCTTAAATCACCACACTAAAAATACCACCCCACAGACAGAACTCATCTGTCTCTAGCAAAGTGGGTTAGTAGTTAGAGCTGCTAGGCCCTAAACCTGCAATTGAATCCCATGTAAGTGGACCTTGAACCTCCTGTG